TGGCATGAGGTAAATTTATGAATGCATTTGATACAGTGAACAGCAGAAGTTTTTGGGTATAGGAGGGTCGATGCAGGTGGAAGAGGAATGATTACAGTAGGTAATGAAAGTGGTAAGAGGAAAAATATTAGCATACATAAGGTTTTTTGTAGTATAAAAATGATAGAAGGCAGTGTGTGGAGAGGGAGGTTAAATGAGTGATTAGGGAATGCACAATAATCAGTGAGAGAATGGACAAGATTTTATCAGCAAATTTTAATAAGAAAAAGACAGTTTTGGAAAAATCAATAAGTTAATGATAATCATAACCACAATTTTTAAAAGGGGTGGACCAGTAAGCCAGCATAAGGCCTCGGTCAGATTAATAGAAGTGGGTCATTATATCACTAAGACCCATGTCAGGAAATACTTGTCCTGTTTCCTGACAAATCTTACTTAACCTAACCTAATAAGGTAAGAAAGCCTGGAGCAAATGAACTTACTGGTGGTCAGGAAGTGGAATGATCTCAACAGAAGTGGTGGAAGCAGACTTCATATATAGTTTCAAGAGTAGGTATGAAAGGTCCCATGAGAAGAAGAGGGGAGTGAATTTGGCAAGTTTGGAGGCGGGACCAAAAGCTGAGATTTGACGCCTGTAAACATAAATAGGCTAGTATACTAAATACAGTGGACCCCCGCATAACGATTACCTCCGAATGTGACAAATTATGTAAGTGTATTTATGTAAGTGGGTTTGTACGTGTATGTTTGGGGGTCTGAAATGGACTAATCTACTTGACAATATTCCTTATGGGAACAAATTCGGTCAGTACTGGCACCTGAACATACTTCTGGAGTGAAAAAATATCGTTAACCGGGGGTCCACTGTACTAATTTTTAGGTTTTCAGCAGAGCTTAATCACTATGGGCTGTATAGCCCTTGTGGCTTAGCGCTTCTTTTTTTATTATAATAATAATTAATCACTATGGACAAGAATGAGTAAACAGTCAATGAATTGCCAATAGTTACACAACTTTTGTTTACCAAGACATTAAACACCCTTGTTTGTCATGACCTGCTGCACTCTAGCCAGTTGTACCTTGACTGCTGGACAACTATCACCTGGGGCTCTAGCCATAAGACTGCTATACCTCCACTTTTACACTATCAACAGCTCTTCTGAAACACCATTAAACAGTTATCTTATGAATATGATCAATGTCAGGATGCAGTTGTCTGATGAAAATATCAACTAACCATCATGCATGCAGATGACTTCACCTTTCTCTGTATTAGATGATTTCCTCCCATTTATTTTAGCCTTTTACATTTTAATTTTTTTTGTAAATTCTCAAAACCATAGTTGATTTGCAAAAGGTTGCAATTCACCTCTACATATTTTAGGCATTTTATTAAGTCTATTTCTGTATTATTTCATGCCTACATTTCACTGCAAAACGGCCAAGATTGAAAGGAACATGCCCTGATGTCTTTCAAATTTTCCAGATAACATTTACATTTCTCCTTACACTGCTCTCCATAGTATACTCTCTTAGTTTCAAAACCTCATACTGTACTGTATTCACATGTTTTGTAACTAGTAGGTTATTAGAATATTTTTAGAATATTCTGAGGAACTTTTAAATGTCAACGAAGAAAGGGAAGCGGTAATTTCATGCACTGGCCAGGGAGGTATACCATCTTTTAGGAGTGAAGAAGAACAGGATGTGAGTGTGGGGGAGGTGAGTGAGGCATTACATAAGTAGAATGAAAGGGGGTAAAGCAGCTGGAACTGACTGGATCATGACAGAAATGTTAAAAGCAGGGGGGGATATAGTGTTGGAATGGTTGGTATTTTTGTTTAATAATTGTATGAAAGAGGGGAAGGTACTGTACCTAGGGATTGGCAGAGAGCATGTATAGTCCCTTTATATAAAGGGAAGGGGGACAAAAGAGATTGTAAAAATTATAGAGGAATAAGTTTACTGAGTATACCAGGAAAAGTGTACGGTAGGGTTATAATTGAAAGAATTAGAGGTAAGACAGAATGTACGATTGCGGATGAGCAAGGAGGTTTCAGAGTGGGTAGGGGATGTGTAGATCAAGTGTTTACACTAAAGCATAAATGTGAACAGTATTTAGATAAAGCTAGGGAAGTTTTTATTGCATTCATGGATTTAGAAAAGGCATATGGATAGGGGAGCAATGTGGCAGATGTTGCAAGTACATGTATATGGAATAGATGGTAAGTTACTAAATGCTGTAAAGAGTTTTTATGAGGATAGTGAGGCTCAGGTTAGGGTGTGTAGAAGAGAGGGAGACTACTTCCCGGTAAAAGTAGATCTTAGACAGGGATGTGTAATGTCACCATGGTTGTTTAATATATTTATAGATGTGGTTGTAAAAGAAGTAAATGCTAGGGTGTTCGGGAGAGGGGTGGGATTAAATTATGGGGAATTAAATACAAAATGGGAAGTGACACAGTTAATTTTTGCTGATACTGTGCTTACGGGAGATTCTAAAGAAAAATTGCAAAGGCTAGTGGATGAGTTTGGGAGTGTGTGTAAAGGTAAAAAGTTGAAAGTGAAAATAGAAAAAGAGTAAGGTGATGAGGATATCAAATGATTTAGATAAAGAAAAATTGGTTATCAAATTGGGGAGGAGGAGTATGGAAGAAGTGAATGTTTTCAGATATTTGGGAGTTGACGTGTCGGCGGATGGATTTATGAAGGATGAGGTTAATCATAGAACTGATTAGGGAAAAAAGGCGAGTGGTGCGTTGAGGTATATGTGGAGACAAAAAACGTTATCTATGGAGGCAAAGAAGGGAATGTATGAAAGTATAGTAGTACCAACACACTTAAATGGGTGTGAAGCTTGGGTTGTGAATGCAGCAGCGAGGAGGCGGTTGGAGTCAGTGGAGATGTCCTGTCTAAGGGCAATGTGTGGTGTAAATATTATGCAGAAAATTCGGAGTGTGGAAATTAGGAGGTGTGGAGTTAATAAAGGTACAGTGGACCCTCAGCTAACAGTATTAATCCATTCCTGAAAGCTCATCATTAGCTGAAATTATTGTTAGCTGAATTAATTTTCCCCATAAGAAATAATGGAAATCAAATTAATCCATGCAAGACACCCCAAATTATGAAAAAAAAAATTTTACCACATGAAATATTAATTTTAATACACACAAACTGACACCTTTACTGAAGATCTGGTGATGAATGATGGGATGAGAGGAGGGAAGTTGTTAATGTTTAGAAGAGGAATCCCCTTCCATTAGGACTTGAGGTATCAAGTCCTTTTCTGGGGCTACTTCCCTTCTTCTTTTAATGCCACTAGGACCAGCTTGGGAGTCACTGGGCCTCTGTCGCACAACAAATCTGTCTATAGAGGTCTATACCTCCCGTTCCTTTAATTAAGATTTGCCTAAAATGGGCCACAACATTGTCATTGTAATAGTCCCAGCATGGCTTGCAATAGCTGTGTTAGGGTGATTTTCATCCATAAAGGTTTGCGTTAACCCACTTTCCCACACATTTTCCTTAATCTTTGAGTAGGCACGATGGATTCCACAACTGGCATAGGCATCTCAGGGTTAGCCTCAAACCCTTCAAAATCTTTCTTAATTTCCATACAAATTCTCAACCCTTTTTATCCCCAGGGTTGCACTAGAAGCTTTCTTGGGGCCCATGGTGACTTATTTTGTAGGTACAATCCTAAAAACGCTGTGAAAATTATGAAATGTTCGATTGTATGCTGGATGCGACCGCACTGGCTGGCTTGTAAACACTGGCACCCACGGGAAAACTGAGGCATGCTCAGGCCACACGTGGACGTGTCTCGAACGAATCGCTTTGGGCGAGTTTTTTAGGTTTGCTGAGGCAAATTTTTGCGTTTTAAAAAGTATGTTAGCTGAAATTTTAAAGTAGCTGATGCCATCGTTAGCTGAGGGTCCCCTGTATTATCAGAGGGCTGAAAAGGGGGTTGTTGAGGTGGTTTGGTCATTTAGAGAGAATGGATCAAAGTAGAATGATATGGAGAGCGTATAAATCTGTAGGGAAAGGAAGGCGGGGTAGGGGTCGTCCTCAAAAAGGTTGGAAGGGGTAAGGGAAGTTTTGTGGGCGAGGGGCTTGGACTTCCAGCAGGCGAGCACGAGCAATAGGAGTGAATGGAGATGAATGGTATTTGGGACCTGACGATATGTTGGAGTGTGAGCAGGGTAATATTTAGTAAAGAGATTCAGGGAAACCGGTTATTTTTATAAATCTGGACTTGAGCTCTGGAAATGGGAAGTACAATGCCTGCACTCTAAAGGAGAGGTTCGGGATATTAGCAGTTTGGAGGGATATGTTGTGTATCTTTATTACGTATATGCTTTAAAATGTTGTGTTCTGAGCACCTCTGCAAAAACAGTGATTATTGGGGTTTGAGGTGAAAGTGTTGAATTTGATGTTTTAAAAAAAAAGGTTTTTTTTTTTTCTTTTTGGGTCCCCCGGGCCTGGGTGGGGGGGGGGCCGATTTAAAAAAAAAATTTTATTTTTAGAATACACAGGGGAAACCCTGAGCTTAAAAATTTTAAAATCCGTTCGTGGACCTTGTTTTTTACGAGTCAATTTTCCTTATAAAAATTAATTGAAATGCAATTAACCCTTTTAAAGCCTCTCGGGAGGCTTTGACAAAATAATGCTAATTAAAACCTCTAGGCTTATTTTATCTATAAACAATTCTTTCTAATGTTAAATTAATAAATAATTTTAATATAAAAACATGATTATTACTCTAAATAAATTTAAAATAGGCCAAAATTTGGCAAGTGATGGGGGAGGGGGGCCCGTGGCAGAAAAGCATCTCCCGTTTTACTCTCCCACCCAAGTTTTTTCCCAGTTCATAACCCCACCCCTGTTGTGTTTATCTATGTTTTAGTGGTGGGGTTTGGGTTAAAATTGGGAAAACCCACGGGTTTTGGGCCCAAGACGATGAATAAAATGGGTAAAGGGACATGATCACTGGGGGCCACAGTGGTGGTGGTGGTGGCCAGCTGCCTTCTTCGTTTCTCTAGCTGTTTTCATAGTTTCTAATTGCTTCCTGAGCTTCTTGCTGATTGTATGCGAATACTGTCTCTTTGGGTGAGGCATTGTGTAAGAAATTTGTACAATATAAGACAAAACTACGCATCCCAAGGGTCTGCTATGGTCACTCAGAGCAGCACACCTCCTCATCCTTTTGACCCTTGGTTGGCACTGAGATAGCTGTGGTCTAGCAGTACCTACAGTCACCCAGACAGTTACCAATTTGTATTTTGAAGCATTTGGCACAAAAATATGAAAAAAAAAATTACAAAAAATGTCTAAAAATGACAACATATTATATTGTATTATTACTGTTATAATTATTCCTGTTCTTAGTGCGTACGTATTATTATAATTATTATTAATTTAGGGAACTGGAGCAGATTCAATTCCCTAGATCGAGAGCCCATCACCACGTACATACTATTAATAATAATATTATAACAATAATAATTACAGTAAGGAGAAACTTCAAAAGGCTGCCAGTAGTTGGCGCCACCATCAGCAAAACATTGGTAACCACTACTAGTACACTTTTCACCTGTCTAGACATAAGTAGTCTATTAGTATTAGGTTAAGTCTCCCCGAAATGCCTCAGCATGATAGTGGCTTTCTTTGCTTGAATCATATTATGATACGTAAACACATATTGTAATCTTTGCAAAGAAATAAAATTATTTATTTATTCATTTAAGGAACCTTCCTTGAGGGGAAGTTCGCATCCTGAAATTTCGTTTGTATCCAGAAACAAAACATTGACTGAACGATGGTTCATATCCTGAAAAATTCGAATGGTGGGGCATTTGTAAGCCAAGGTTCCACTGTATTATAAAGGCATGTTAGGACATGCATGAAACAGAGACACTGGTTACATTTGCTCACCAGGAGCTTTGTTCAAGTTGGAAAGTGAAACATAGCTGCAGTAACTGTCACTGCACGTGTCAATTTACTTAACATATAAGGAGGAGTCTTGCTAATAATTAATAAATTTACTGCAATCACTGCTTCACCTTTCCACTACCTCGTCAGCTAATAATTTAAATACAATCACATAATTTGCCTCTCAGAAAAATTACTATTTTCTATTGAATAACACCATTCTCCATTAAATTTCTACATTTGCACTTTATTGTACCCAACACTATCATCTAGTATTTTCAAGATCTTTTACATAAACTTTTCAGTTATATTAAAAAAAAAAATCTACCATTACCCAACAGACATCGTAATATAGGGAACTTTTGTAAAAGGCAAGATTCTTCCCAGTGCTAGGAATGCTTGCAAAAAATCTTATGGCAAATATGAGTTTAATAGTGTACTAGACTAGCAGTCTTAACCCAATAATTGTTACTGCACTAAAACATAACTGCAAACTTTTCTACAAAGATTAACTATATATTTGCAGGTAAAGTCCAGCTGCCAGAGTAACATTTGTCTCACAATTAGAGGACAGAGGATTGACCTTCCTCCACACGGCTTTAAAGCTTCACACAATAACTATACATTTGTGGTCTTCATAATGAGTGATGGCAAGATATTAGGTTTGAGCACAGATACTGTGGGTTGTGTGTCTACATCACTGCCATCATCATCATTTCTCACATCTTGTTGTCGTATGACTTGAAGTTCTCCCCCCCATGTCTGACTGGACGTCATTGTTGGCACCTTCCACTTCCCCGACGACCTTCTTCCTGATGCCAGCCTAGACATCTTGCGGAAGCTTCTGCGTATACTGGGACTGCTGCTTACCCCAGCATCAAAGAAGGAGAATGTGGGTAAGTTGTATGGAGCATCTTCCAGAAGTTCCAGATCTCTAACATGCTTGGAGACCAGCAGTGTGAAGATGGTACTCAGTGCAAACACCACACTGGTCAGCCCATGGAACTTGTGCCTGTGATGGATGACAGGTGTTAGTGATTGCTTTGCCTGCTGATAAATCTAATGTCTAATTAGTGACTTGCTCAGCATAGCTACTATAACTGATAACCCAGCAAAGTGATGCAGTATGGTTTATCCCTCAAGAGAGCCCTTGAAGCCAGTGAGGCAGCACCTGCTCCAGAGAAGTGGACTTACCCTCCTCTTCCTTGGACTGAACCTGAATGCCTCCCTTTCCAGGCACTATGTGACCCATATAGGTTTAATGCTTTCAAAGATTTAAATTAAAATGTATGGTTTACTTCCATTAGGGTCCTTTACCAGAATGCAACTAATACCCAGGTATCTACTTACTGCTAGACAAAATGAATATGGGTAGAAGACACTGTAAGGAGACTAACACCCAGGCATTTATTACCTGTTAGGTGAGTATGTACAAGGAGATGTATTTTGACTTGTACATTGGTATCCTCCCACCTGGTGTCGAGTGGGATACCATGGGTCCTTTAGGTTGTGAGCCAAATAATCTACGACTGAGCTACAAGCCATAATTCCCCTGTCCTTGGTATATTATTACCATATATTCACAATGTGTATGGGTCACACATTCCCAAGAAGTTAAGGGGAGCCATCAGCTAGGGGAAGTAGTGCAATAAATAAATTTATGAGCTAACCAAAAAGCTAAAGTTGGCAAAAATTAATTTCAATCAAACCATCAGAGTGCTCTGGTATAAATAAGGTCTCCACACTACATACCCAAAGTCAATGGTGTTATAGAGGGAGCAGGAGGTTTGGACGTCACAGGCTTCCTTCCATACAAGACAAGCAGAGTCAATAATAGAGCCTGACACCAGTGGGGTGACCAGAGCAGCCAGTGACATAACAGTGCTCTTGAGACCTAGTGCTGCTGGCTTATCCTGCTTCCCAACACATCTGAAATATATCACAATGATCTCAACAATAACACTGCAAGCCAACTCCAGTCAAGGGTTCAAAAGAGCTAACACATTTTTCACAAGTAGTTTATAAAAGGGTGTTACCTTGATGCTGGTGAAGGACTCTTGATTTTAAAGAATTTGAACGACCTTTCCTTGGATTACGCCCATTTTCTGCTATATCCCAGGTGCTATATGACCTCCTACAAAAAGTTATTTATAACAAAAGTGAATACAGCTATATGATAATTACACATTGGAAATAAAAGCTAGCTATGTTTCCTTATCACATTACATCATGTAGGATGGGACTCATACAAGTGTTGAAATCTGTCAGCTTGAGCTGGGAGACTTCAGTAGGGCAATAAGGATGTTGTCAAGCATTCCAGCAAGGGATCATCAGCTGTAAGAGCTTTAAAGGTTGTGGCATAGTTAAAAGGTTTCCTTTCAGCACAGCTAGGGTAACTTCAGCTATGCCGGAAGGAGACCTTCGAAGCTCTCTATGAACACATGTTTGGGTTTAAAGTGTAATTTATTATTTACTTTAATCTATGAACATTGCCATCTTCCACACTATCATAGTCACATCAGATGTAAAAAAAAAAAAAAAAAACTTAGTAGCAAGATGAAGAGCTTACTCAACCTTGCACACACACATTGGTACAGCAATAACATAATTATTACATAATCAAAAATAATTCTAAACTTGTATGGACCACTGTAAAAGGAAAAATAGACATACTTGATAAAGCCCACACAGCAGGCTTTATCAAGTTTGTCTATTAAACCCACAAAGTGGGCTTTATCAAGTTATAAACAAATCTACCTGGGTAAAGAGTACATGAGTATATGTAGTGTGGAGAGTCAGGTGGAGAATACTAGGTGGGTTGTATATGAGACGGCCCTGCACGGGATGGGCAACCAGGTACGTTATGTAGGATAATGAAGTTTCCTGGCAAGGGGTTCAGCTATGTTGTAAAAGCCGTTGTTCTGATTGGCTTTTACATGGAGAAGACCCGAGCCAGGATCCGTCCTGGCAAACACCTTTGAAAGAATGATACTTAACAGACTGTACTACAGAATCAGACACCAACTTTTCCCCTACCTCTATGGGTTCATGAAAGGTAAAAGTGTGCAGAACTTTATTTCCACCTTTCTCACTGCACACACCTCTACTAGTTTTACCGCTTTTCTTATCAAAAATCATTTGATATTGCGAACAGAACCGTTATACTACATGAACTAGCCAAAATGAATATTGGTGGTAGCTTACTCTGCTGGATAATAGGATACCTGTCAAATAGAGTATCCTCTGTCCTTTATCAAGGCTTTAGAAGTGAGTCTAAAGAAATGTCTTTAGGTAACAACCGCAGGAGGAGTTCTTAGTCCCCTGCTATTTAATATTCTGATTAATGCTCTCCTAAATGCTCTACCTGCCTCACCTAAACATATAGCTATAAGCTATGCTGATGACATCATGATACATACAACAGGGCATAAGAAGATGAGCACCATTCTTAATGAATGTTCAAGCAATTTGTAATCGACTAGGCCTCATAATATCTTCCTCTAAAACAAGATATTAACAAGCAAACGACATCCCCCACCCATCTATTTGCAGGGTGAAATCATTAGCTACGTTAAAATCTACAGATATCTTGGTGTAGATGTACCCTTTAACAAATCCACTATACCACAACTAAATAAGAAATGCAAAGATAGGCTAAATGCTCTCAAAGCTGTTGCTGGCTACAACCCCAACTATGGTGCTAATGTGAGAATCGTGAGAATGATGTACATAGCCTATGTTAGGTCCTTAATTGATTATGCTGCTCCCATGTTGATATTAGCTAGGGAAAGTTCTCTCCGACCCTTGGAGTTAATGCAGAATGAAACTCTCAGAATTATTCTTGGGTGTCCCAGATCTACAAAGGTTCTTAATATGAGGAAGGAGCTTGGTATTTCTAGTATCAGTGATAGGGTTGTTGAGATTAACACTGTACTTGGTATTAGAATGTTGAGAAATGAACCAGACTCTGTCACAATGAATCTTACCAAGTGTCTAGAGGTAAATACACACAGATCTAAATGGACTGTGAAAACGTGCAATTGCATTAAGTTTTATAACCTGCATGAACTGTATCACTGTAGGCAACAAGAGCATTTCACCCCTCCATGGAAGATGTGTTCATTTAATATCACATACCTGCAAGTCCCTTCCTTGAACATCAAAATGGTGTACAATACTGACAGGTTGTTAGGTAAGACACATATGCAACAGTTAGGCAACTTTATTCCGAAACGTTTCACCTACACAGTAGGCTTCGTCAGTCGAATACAGAAAGTAGGCAGGAACAGTAGATATGTGAAGACGATGTAATCAGTCCATCACCCTTGAAGTCGTAGAATTTGAGGTTGTCAGTCCCTCAGCCTGGAGAAGTTCAGTTCCAAAGTCAGGAACTGAACTTCTCCAGGCTGAGGGACTGACAACCTCAAATTCTACGACTTCAAGGGTGATGGACTGATTACATTGTCTTCACATCTCTACTGTTCCTGCCTACTTTCTGTACTCGACTGAAGAAGCCTACTGTGTAGGTGAAACGTTTCGGAATAAAGTTGCCTAACTGTTGCATATGTGTCGTACCTAATCCCTTCCTTAAATCACTTGTTAAAGCAATTGCTCAAGAAGAAATTTCTCGCCTAGCTGGTAGTAATAAGTTATCACAAGTTATATACACTGATGGATCTAAACAGGAGTCTTCTGGCAGGGCTGCATCTGCTCTTGTTGCCACCTCCCTAGTTAAGAACGATAATAAATTTGAGTTAGGCATAAGAATTAACAACTGGGCATCTACACTGCAAACTGAATTGTTTGCAATCCTAAAAGCGCTAAAGCTAACCTATGACACTGAGCTGGACTCTATCATCATTACTGATTCTATGTCATCATTGAAGGCTCTTGACTCATATAATGACTCCAACAACATGCTCATTGGAGAAGCCAGGTATAGATACTCAAAAATTAGGGACAAAGGAATTAATGTACAATTTGTAAAGTAAAAGGACACAAGTGCAGCTTATGTGACATTTTATTGTGGCAATGTTTCGCTCTCCAGGAGCTTTATCAAGCCATTACAAACAATACATGGACACAGAAGGTATATATAGGCTCAGAGTGAGGTGCAATACTAGTGGTAGTAGTAGTAGTAGTAGTAATACAATATGGTAGAGCAATTAATTCGTACATGAGTAGAAGGATATAAAAGCTATTACTTGGGTAACAAAAATAGGTTGGACAAATATAGACTGGATAGAGGCAGCCTGTTTCAGTGTTCACTCTCTGTAATGTGCTTTGTGTAGTATAACAGGAGAGACTATGTGATGACAGGGTTATAATTCTTCCCAACAGCCAGGTTGCACTGAACATTTCTAAAGTACTTTCACAAGCTAACACCAGAGTCGCCATCACTTCTAGCACTTCAATAAAGGATCTAACCAGGACAAAATCAAAGCACCACGAACCAGTCAACGCAGGAGTTTACACTATACCCTGTGGAGGCTGTGACAAGATTTACGTAGGTGAAACAAGAAACCTCGACACCCACCTCAATGAACACATTTACGCATGTATGAACGATAACTTGAACAACGCCTGTGTACAACACCGAAATTCCACCAATCATCTCATGAAATTCAGGGACGCCCAATTAGTGATCAAAGAAACTAATTTCCGCAGACGCAAGTGCCTCGAATCAGCACTGATCGCTGTTTCGAATACAATTAAACAAAACAACAGCAGCTTCACCATCTCTGAAGTCTTAGCAAGAATCCTCCTGAAAACAGTAAACCCTGCCATCACATAGTCTCTCCTGTTATACTACACAAAGCACATTACAGAGAGTGAACACTGAAACAGGCTGCCTCTATCCAATCTATATTTGTCCAACCTATTTTTATGTTACCCAAGTAATAGCTTTTATATCCTTTTACTCATGTACGAATTAATTGCTCTACCATATTGTATTACTACTACTACAACTTTTGTCACTACTATACTACCACCGCTAGTATTGCACCTCACTCTGAGCCTATATATACCCTCTGTGTCCATGTATTGTTTGTAATGGCTTGATAAAGCTCCTGGAGAGCGAAACATTGCCACAATAAAATGTCACATTAGCTGCACTTGTGTCCTTTTACTTTACATATTGTCGGTAATTCTACCAACTTTATTATAATGTACAATTGCTATGGATCCCATCACACATTGGATTACTCCTTCATGATAAAGTTAGTGAGAATGGCTGGATTTGAGAGGGACCTGAGCTTCCAACGACAACAATCTTACCTCTACTAGTGGCCTACATCTCACCTCCTGGCTGTATATAGGCTCCATCCTGTCACTTCAGCTCACATACACACAGTCATAGAACTCAGTTCACGGAGTTCACTACCTTATCACAAGATAGGCACATGGCTTCTGCCGAAAAGAAGAGGCCACGATGCTCCATGAACACGACGGAGGACTCGGATTTGGAAATGTGGGGTGAAATTCTAGCGAAGAAGTTGCGAGAGGAAGAGGAAGATCCTGCTCACATTGTAGCAGATCTGACAGTCCCAACCATGGAGCCAGTGACAATAGAAACAGGGGAGGAAATAAACACCCCACCCCCCGAAAACCAAGAGGGATGGAACACTGTGGACAACAAGAAGCACCGTCCGTCCAAGGAGCAGGCAAACCAGCTCAACCGACCTGGCAAATTCAAGGTGAAGTCTTACGGGGACCACAGAACCCACTATGGCGTTGTTTCATACCTGGAATCACGACACAACCTGAAGTTCAAGATATGGTTCAACCTGAGGGGAGAACCAATATTAACTCCTCTCAACAAGGAAATGTATACCACCTTGAAGAGAGTCATGGAGACAGTTCGCTCATTCACCCTGGAGGAACTGGACTCTCGGCAGAAAATCACCAAGGGTGTAGTGATGCGATAC